TAACGGCACGCTAACGGCACGCTAACGGCCCCAGTCTGGCCAAGGCTGATGAGGAGAACGGGGCTCTCACGGATTACACTCTGAGCTGGCGTTATGAACGGCCTCTCCACATCGTGTTTAACACCTCCGTCATCAAGACAAAGTGAACGCGTCCAATGCCAGCACGGTTATAAACCAGGTTTTCAAACGGCAACGTGTAATAACAAGAATTTTCAGTCACCCTGAGGAACGCCATGGCAGCTCCGTGACTTTTGGCGCAGGGAACTCCGGCCGTTCCACCCGAACAGGAGGAAGGACTCCTGCACTGGGAGGGCGGCGGAGCCCTGGCAGGGGCTGCGGGGTCTCCTTCTCTGGAGATGTTCAAAACCCACCTGGACCCACCTTGGGTGACCCTGCCTTGGCAGGGGGTTGGACCGGGTGATCTCCAGAGGGCCCTGCCAGCCCCAACCAGTCTGGGACTCCACGCTTCCACGGGCATCGCCAAACCACAAAGAGAAGTTACGGTCCACGAGAAGTATACATCGCACTCGGCATCAGCCACTTGCAGCGCCCAGTCTTCCTACAGCCTCAGTGAAAGGGCCTTCAGCCACACAATTAGAAAGCAGCAATTTAGAGAAGTCATCAAAACTCATTCTCTCTCAGCTACGTTACAACCTAATGCTACGATGAGCTTCCACAACTTCAACTTGAATTATGTATTTCCCACTTTCACTTACTCTGCTAAGACTTACAGTTGAAGTGCAATTGTGTTAGTGCAAATGTTAAGTTCAGTTTTCATCTCACACAGTATTTTTCCCACTTAGACATCTACAAGCCTACCTGCATTCACTCAGGTTCCCTCCACAAAAAAAAAACCAACAAAAAGCCCCCAAAAAACAACCACGGTATCAATTACTGGTCATCAGAAAAGGCCATTTAAATTTAGACCAATAACATTATTCCATAATGCTTATTTTTTAATTAACCTTTTCATATAGAAAACCGAAATCCTCTGATACTTAACATTCATCTCTTTTATATTAGCATTTACTGGTAAGAGAAAATGTATGAATAGAAAGGCTAATAAAAAATTTTAAAGTAGTATTTTTCCAGATTAAATATTTCAACTTAAAAAACCCCAGAAAACAAAGAGTGTCCTCTTCTGTCATCTTTTATGGCAAACACTACTACTCAAGAAATAAGGAACTAATAAAGCCATATCCATTTGTGACTACCCACCTAAAACCACAAGTTTTCAGAACAGAGCATATACAGTGTATTTCATCAGAATCTATTGTATTTACACAGAAGCACAAAAATTGCAATCACCCTCAAAAATTCTCAAATTTTCAAAAGTTTGTTATCTCCACAGTATGCAGAGCAATGAATACTAATCTACCTCAAAGAATAGGAAAAAAAGATAGTTTTAGCTCTACAGGAGGTGCCGTACTGCACAGAAGAGACCTACCAAGACAGTAATGCCCCACCGAGCTCAGCACGTGTGCCGCCGGACACAGACCGGCTCCCACAGACTTCCATCGGCATCTCTCTGCTCTGCTCCCAGCACCCCCATTTCACAGAGGAACTTTCAGACCTGCACTGGGTACGACACGCTTTTAGGCAACACCGTGCCATAGTATTAATTTTTCTCCCAAACTCAGAGCAGCCACAAAACTAGAGGTTCAAATGTGTGCAAAGGCTTGGCAGACGCAAGCCCAGGTCTAGTACCACCAGAATTTAAGAGGCAAGAAATCCTTTCCAACCAAAAATCAACTCTGTAAGAGAAAGTGTCTCAAAGTGCTCCCTGGCACATCCCAGACCATCTATTTAGGATTTTCCCATTCCACCATCACTTTGGAATATAATGCAGGAACACCAGAATTTCATGAACTATTATCTCATAACTGCTAAGCCACAAACAGTTGAGAATAAACTGTATGTGCGAACAAAAAGTATTTCGCCCCATTACCAGAGGCCAAAAGCTCAAGTATCTATACAATACCCAGTTTGTGACAAGTGCTCCATACGACTAATGGAGGTCATAAAAAAAAAGTTAAATTCGTGACTTGTAAAATACTGCTAGAAAATATAAAGCTGTGATACTCAGCTGCTTTTCACGCCATCCTTGTAGATAAATACATCAGAATCCTACAACAACAACAAAAGACACTACTTCCTTAAAGGAAACATTAACTTTTGAATTCACACGGATGCATAGCACATTTATAGTTACCAAACCTGGAAATTATTTACTAAACATGTGTACGGTTAAACATATCGGTTACACAAACTGGGAGGGTCGCAAATGTGAGGTTGTTTCCAGAGAACTCTTTAGACGGGAAGACTTTCAGAAACACAGGTGTGTTACTAGAAACAAAATGCCCCTATGCACATCAGTTGGGGGCTGTCAATGGACCTTCAGCGCCCTGGGTTGTCCACAGCAAGGCGAGCTGTGCCCTCCCGCCATGGGAAGCACGTGCCTCGAACACGGACCTGAACTTCTCCACCTCCCTGCTCAACTAAAAGGCTGAGCAGCCATCCTGTCACATCTGTCTGTTCCTCTGCAGATTCCTGCTTGATATTCTCTTCTATAAAGAACTAACATGAAGCATCATGAAAAAATATTTTTGAAGACACTGTATCTCAGTGGTATGTTTTGGATCTTTAATGATTATTTTTCCAGCTGGGACCAAACTGATGTGGTCTGCCTTCAGCTGCCATCCTAATCAATAGCAAGAGTAGTTTTGCTTATAAAGTTAAGAGCAACTCTTAAAATAAAATCTGGCCTCTTGAGGCTAATGCAAAGCTTCATTTTAAGGAACAAACAGTCAGTTTCTGAAAATAAGGCCCTGATACATAATCCATTGTCACCATGGGATTAATTAGCCCTGTCACAAACTTTAGGTTTTCGGGAATTCAACGTACCAGGGCACAGGACAGTCTGACTGAAGACAAGTTCATCCAAAGCTGAAGCATACCACCGAATCAAAGCCTAACCCATCAAGCAGAACTGGAAATCCATGGAACATGTGAAAGTAGCCTTGATTTTTTTGTCACCACAATCTGGCCCGTTGAAGCTAAGCAGTTTAACTCAAAGTAAGGCTCTAGCTAGAGCTTCAACCTGTCGTACTTATTGAGACATTTATCTGATTCTTTTCGAGACGCCGGTTTCATTTATATCCCAACCTCTGCAGTACAAGACAGATAAAAACTAGTTCTGAAACCAGAAACAGGTTGGAAAACAAGACTGTTTTCCTATTCAATGAAAAAGCAGGTGGCTCAAATTCACCTTTTTTACATGTGCGTACAACCCGTTTAATGACTTACCTCTCTCCCTTTATGCGTCACCAAAGCAGCCAAAGGCTTGGCATAGAATCTGCTGTAGGAAAATCCCAGGCAGCCATACATACTGTTAGCAGTGAGTTTCAAAGCTTTCTGTCTGATATCATACTGAAAAGAAACATAACCAGCAAAAATGATACAACCATAGCCAACAGAGAACAGAACTTCATGTTCACAATTACATTCACAGCTTTTTATATAGTCTGCAGCAATGATGGGCTACAAGTAAAGCACATTACAATCACTGCTCACTACTAATCATCTCTATTCTGCAAGGCTGATCAGGGCACTTAAGGGGAGTGGGAGGAAAATCAAAGGAGTTCTATAAAACACACCTGTAAATAAAGGTCAGGATTTAAATCTGGCTGTTTCATTAACTGCTTAACTTGGCGTCTTCTCTCCACCAGCTTCCTGATTTCTTTAGGCAGAACTCCCATTTCCAGAGATGGGTCCGGAAGCTCTGGAATTTCCTCCTCTTCTTCTTCCTGTCAAGTGACCACCACTGCTTATCATTTTTTTTCTTGAAGATTAGATTTTAATGTATTAAGTGAAAAGCTCGGGGGAAAAAAAACACATAACCACACAGCTTCTATCTATTCCTGCAGAGCACCCAAAGCACAGTTTAGAACAAGCATGAGAGGTTTTTTGTGATATTTAATTACATTACTTAGTCCCTGCTGAGGGACAGTGACTAAGCCTGTCTCTGCCTGGGAGAACCCAAGAGAGACACGGACCAGTAGCAGGAAGAGGTTTTGTTTTGTTTTTTTTAAATATGTGTGTGTGTATTATATATATTATGTATATGTGTTTATACATAAATCCAGACAAATAAAATGCACACACACTCTCACTCTTAGGTATATATAGATAGATATAAAAATATAAAGAAAAGCACACACACAAGCAATCCTTTTCGTGCTGAAAAAATCCATCCTAAGGAAGTATTTTTGGTGTTCAGAACTGTAAAACTGAGCACAGGCTTGGTGGAACTGATACTTTGAATAAGATAACTGACAAAACAGAAATTGACAGTAACAACAGAATGAAAACTCCAGCCCAAGCAACTCTTGATTATAGCAAAACTACAACCTAACAGAAAGCACACATTCTTCTTGTTAGCATAACCAGCAAAAACAGAAAGGAATTGCAAGCACAATGAAAGAGACAGAAATACAGAAAGAAAGGGCAATAGAGACACTATGAGGTGGGCAAGTTCAGTAAAGCAGTCTGGGAAGAACCGTAACAAGAAATTACACCAAAACCTGATTAAGTATCATACCATGAGAGAACAAAATGAGCTGCTTCACCTTGAAGCATACTTAAGAAAGCAGGGTATATCTGCAGAAAGTTTGGAGGAACTTACTGACAAGAGTTCCACATACTTTTTTCCTCATTTCTGCTATGGTACTGATATTTCAGTTGTTATGGGACTAACTACATCCCATAACTACTTACACACAACACGCTAATTCCAACCTGTGAGCTGACACCAGTTAAAAATAAAAGCCTCGGGTTTAACCTTTAGACTTGACCAGCTCACTGCTTCAGTTTACAGCACAGTTCCACCAACAACAGTGCCAGCACAGCTGAGGAAATGAGAATAAGCAGCCACGGATAAGCCACAGTCAACACTGCTGCTGAGAAAATAGTAGGTGGAACTACACCTTCAGGAGTTTTTCAGTTGTCTTTACTACAGTTTAACACTGGATCAAACAGCATGAATTTCCGTGAAGCTGGTCCCACAGCTGACAGAGTCATAGTAGCACTCCTCGACACACACCTCCAAGACACACACAGAGTTTTCCTGATGTCTAATAAGGGTTGAGCTCATATTGCATTCTTTCCCTCAGGCAGTATCATGAGACTTGTGTCTACTTCATCCAGGTACGTTTGCATGAATTCTGTGACAACTTAACTTCAGAAGCCTCTACCAAGTTAGGATGAAATCGGTCAAGGGACTCAGAAATTCCTAGGACCACCTGGGTCTGAAGAGGACCAACAGAACCTCACTAAAAATCTTGTTTCACGAGGACATCAAGATTTTATTTAGATGGGAGAGAACTTACCAACATTCTAGAAGAGTATTACTGAAAGAAAGATGACAGACATATAATACTCAAAAAGTCCCAAACCAAAACATTAAACAGTGAAAAAGAACAGTTTCTTAAAAAGCTGATTCGCAGAAAACACACTGAAGTTAAGGCAGTGTAACTTAAGTCACAAGTCAAAGCACACAAACCTCTGCCCTTTTCTGTGCTTCTGATGATAGTCGCTGCACTGTGGTAAAGCAGATGTTGAACTCCTGGATAATCGATGGGTACAAGCTGTTGAAGTCGAGAAGCAAAATAAACTTGTCATAAAAACCTAAAACAGAGTTTAAAACAAAAGCCATAGTTACTCAAGTCTCCCTAAGGACTTCATCCAACTCCACAATTAATATTTAGGTGACAGTAATACATTGTACCACATTTCCAGCATCTAAATCCCTTAAAGCAGCTGTTCAGATGCACCACTACCCGTTACAGAAAGCTGTCAGAAGTGGAACGATCCAACCCCATTAACTCACCAGAGTTGAACAGATAGCTTCTGTGTTACTATAGGACACTTGTACAGTTTTCCCCACATAGAGGAGAAACTGAAAGAAAACTTACGTGTCCATTAGAAAATTATACACAGATGTATGGTCCTAACGCCTCACAAGACCATAATCTTCCCACAAAAGGCTAAGAAAGAAACGTCCCAAGAATAAGTAATTCCACAATCAACGCTGGGAATTTTCTTGTGTGTAATCGCCTCCCCCACCCCTGGAAACCACCACACCAAACTCCCACAAAATACACAGATTGTCCACTGCAATCTCTCTGCATTAATATAACCTACCTGCCTCTAACTTCATAGAAGAAAGAAAATTGCCACATCTTACCGACTTTGGGATCCAAGACTAAGCCCCCAGTATATGCTGCTTTCTTTTTCCCTATCTTTGATTTATTCTGATCTTCAAAATCTTCATCTTCATCCACCTACATTTGGCATTTAAAAAAGTCATTATCTAGTCTCCAAGATTTCTGTAATGTTGGAGGAATTATTTTTGGCAAATCATATATGAAATTGGGAGCCAGTGCATTGAGTTCCTTTTAAAATACATGCAAAACATGGTGTTTTCATCATGATCCTTATTAAAGCTCTCTACATGTCAAAACAGGATTCAAACCAACTCCTACAAGAACAAACTGCTAACAAGAGATATAAAAGACCTTAAGGAATTGTTATCACTCAATGTAGCACTAGTATGCATTTTCTGGCTGGCTGTAAAAGTCAACACTAGGAAAAAAAAAAAATCAACTCACGACCCAGAAAAAGTATTATTGCCCAATTAAAATGTAGTTTTTGGAAATACAACAGCTGGGCTTTATTGAAACAAATAAAAACATTATTACTGACCTAAAGAATATTCTGCTATTTGTTTTGTTGTGGTAACAATTTTTCTCCCAGTTGTTCAGCGCTATTCTGAATCATTTAAAATTCTGGCACTGCCTTGATGCAATAATACAATCAACAGCACTTATTGCTTTGGAATTTGCTGTTGAACTTATTTAAAAGTAAAACTAAACTGCAAAATATAGTGAAATACAAACACATTCTCAAATTTTAGTTTGTTTACTAACAAACATAGCTGTTTCTATAAAGATTATTTACACTAGTATTATCCAAAGGATTTCTTTTTTTTTAAATACTCTTGGATATTTTACCCACATTCTCAAATCACCCACCTTACAAATTATACTTGAAATACTGTCCATCAGCACAGTAAGTGTAGGGTAAATGTGCATCTAATAAGCAACACAGACCATCTTTTTCTTTACTGTTTCCCTAAAAAAGCCAAGAACTTAGCTTATTTCAATTTTAAACTAAAAGAGCAACTGAGTTTCCATAGATCTGTGACACACAGAAAAGGTGTCACACTATCCCTTTAAACCATCCATTTCTCCATTATCAAGTCAACAGAAAAAAAAAATTAAACATAAGCTGTAACATCAAGTTAAGTTTCTATCATATGTTTGCATTTTCCATGCTCTACACAAAAACCAGGAGAATGTTTATTTCTTTTTAACAAAAATTCTTGGAAAAACTGGACCCACCAGCTTCTGTGATGGCTTTTTAAAAACTTGTTTGTCCGGCACTATGTAGTCTTTTTCATGAAACGCATGAAGCAGCAAGAACTCATTACGCTCAGATCGTCCGCCCATCATTGTCCTTGACTATAGAGAGAGGTGAAAAAAGAATTCAAAGCAAAGCATAGAAAACACTTGAAATACAAAAATAGACTAAGCAATGTCCTTCAACTATTTATACGTTCACTCGGTATTACTATTATTCTGTATCATCACCATGCACAAAACTCAAATGTGCTATTTTTATGGAAGTTTTACATTATTACTTGACTAGATCATCGAACTCTCACACTCATCACAGCAAAAAGTTTACAGCATCATGTATTCTCAATTAGCGTTTACAAATTACAACTAGCAAATCAAACACAGAAAACACAGAACTGTTTTTGTGGGAAAATGGAGGGGGCGGAAAGAAATAAAAACGTACCATGACATTCCCAGAGATGTTTGTTATTTGAAGAGCCAGTGGCAGAACATTCAGCTCACACATGATCTGGAGAATGAACTTGGCATCTGTCCAGGTGTTTTCCAGCATGAACATTACGTGAGAAGAATTACTGGGAAAAGAAGGGGGATGGCCTAGTAAAGTAAAATCCTTTGTACTGTGTAGTAGTTTACACTTCCATGCTGTATGGCACACGTGCTATCTGTAGCAAACCAGTGATGAATTATATAGCAAGCTCTTTTAATTGGAAAAAAAAAAGGCAACCCAAAACTTAAGCTTGTATACCCTATTACTGTATCTAAAACAATGCTCACTCAAAACAATTTGGTTCGCACATAATAAGCCACCACTCATGGATAGCTTGAAACATTATAAAATACTGTTAAGATAATATTTTATTTTTCAAATACCAGTATGCTAAGTCAGCATCTCCATGACAAATCAAATAAGCAAGCATGAAATTGTATAGCAGGAAACTAGCTCCTCTACTTTCTACTGAAGGATTAAAACCACGAATCAGCAACATACCTGTACATATTTCGAATTTCCTCTGGTAGTATTGTCTTCCTCTCTGTTTTTAAAATCTGACGGACCAGTTCAGACAAATGGTAACTTTTGCAACGTATTAATTCTTTAGCAGAAATTTCTACATCACAGATCATTCGACCACAGGCAGCATTCCTCTCAGCAAACCCTCCTCGACCCTTAACCATATCACACAAGGAGAGAAAAACCCAAACACAATGAACCATACAAACATTAACAAAGAACATTTACCCAAAACTTAGGCTTTCAGGACTCAGCTAAGTCAGTTGGTCACTGAATACTCCAATACTCCAAATACTCTACTAAATACCACTAATACTGAAGTTTTATAATTGCGCTTTAAAGGAACCCACGGTATCTTTAAGTATTAAGAAGTAGATACTTAACTGTCATTACTAGTTAGCTCTTAATTATTAAACTGTCATCCTTTTTTTTTCTTTAAAAATTAGAATAGTCCCATTGAAAAAAACAAGGGTGTGGATTTTGTTTTTCCTCCTAGGATATTTTTTGTACTAACAACAGGACAAAAAAGTCACTGGACAAACCACACACAAATACTCATCTTGGCCTCTAGGAAGGACAGAACAGGCAAGAACACGGCCACGTTCAGCACTTCAACACTCCAAGCCTCACATGTTGTCCTCTGAACAAATACGTACTAAGAACTACAGAATTATTAACTCAGTAGCTCTCTATGGGATGATTCACCAATCAATCCAAATTACATTTTCTAATTTTACAGTTAGAGCAGACAAAGACTGTTACAGTAAAGACTATTGCAATTAATCTGTCATTATCATCATCTAGTTGAGATACGTAAACTAAATTAGCCTAACTTGAAAATTAGTTTAACTTATTACTGTAATAAAAGTCATATAAACACTCATTATTTCTGATCTGGGACACATGAAATTCAGCATGACCAACAGTCAAAATACATCAGTGTCACATTTACAATTCCTCAGCAAAATTAATTCATTTTTAATCACGTGCAACATAAAGGGGCTTAAAAGACTTGAGCAATCTTATTACCCCAAGCTTTGGCATATTGGACCTCCTCAGTCGACCTATCTTGGACCAGTGAGGGACTTTGCACACATTAATTCTTTGAAGCAGCACTTCCAGATCAAATCCATAAATATTATGACCCTTGCAGCAGAAAAAAATAACAAAAAAGGTTACAACAAATGCAAATTGAAAGACTTACTTTCACACACTCGGTATTCCTTTGCCCTTTGTGGTTTTTTCCAACTAATTGATGGCATTATCTCTCTCATAGAAAGCACTTTCTAAGAAAACGTTCATCAACAGTACTCATTAGTCTTAACACTAGCATTGTTGTTCAGCAGAATACAAAAATCAGCTCTATAACTGGCTCATAGCACACACGATTCAGCTTTATGCTTTGATACCAGAGATTAGGATTTAAAGCTTTCTAGAAAAAACATTATTCTTTATACAGCACATAAACTTAGCTATCTTTTCTCTCCATCCATGAAAGTCTCAATATTGACATCAAAATAACATCATTTTTTTCCCTTTGACACTACAACAGGCATAGCTGTTAAATCTGGACAGGAAGACCTTGCAACCAATATTTACATATCAAAGTACTCTAGCAAAATTTGCAAAGTTTAAACAATGCTAAGGACATTGATAACACTGGTCTGTAACCTCAGCTGAAAGTAAAGTGCTGTCCTGAGGAACATGAGTCTGTGTGGACCAGTCAGTCACCAGGAACTGCAGGTTCACCCTAGCAGATCATCTGTGTAATGCAGTACTGTGCTATAGAGGCTCCTCAAAATCAGCAGCAGCGTTATAGCTGTAGCAGAGGGGCCCCACCTATATTGATAGAGCTTGTTTTTCAACAGCCCTAATTAAACCTGGTGCAAATTAAACTGCTGGTCTTAGCATCACAGCTCTCACACCCCTACTACCGGCATCTTCAATTTAAAACTATTGGCCGCAACGTTTCCCCCGATTCCTTCCCATAACCACCAGGAAGCTCAGCCCATAGGGCAAATACCAAATACCACCTGCAGTGAGCTGAAAACATCAGGAATCTGACGGCTCATTTCATCCTACTGCCACCACCTAATTATTCATATTTACCTACAGAAGAATAACAAGTTGTATATAGCCAACCTCTGATTTATAACCAACTTCAAATCGTCTTCAAAATTTCATTAAATGAAAGTCAAGACTGCACGTTAATTAAACACAACAGAAAAGAAAATGAGTAATTATAATAAATATTCAGCTGTCAATACAGTAGAAAACATAAGAATGCTCATTACAAAACTTTGCTCAGATCCCATGGATTTGTATAGGTCATCATATTGATTTACAGCATAAACACAACCTAAATGGTGACACAAATTATATGAGCATCTTATCTGAAACAGACTCTTAAGTATACCAAGAGCTCCCATTTTTCTAGAAAACCACAAGGGGGTTTTTTTGGTGTGTGTTTTGTCTTTCTGAGTAAAGAAAACAAATACTTGTGTTTCAGGTACTATGGAAATACTGCCCATTTCAGATATTATGGGAAATAATAGGATGTATAAAATGCTGTCAGGGAAAATTCTGTATCATCTTTGTATCAAAGTATACCTGCTGTTTATAAGCAAATTCAATTCATAAGGCAGTCTAAGATAAACATTAAAAAACTATAAGGGGACAAAAGAAAAAGAACAAAGCTGACCAACTAACAATATGCTTTAATTTAACTCTCAAAGTCTCAGAACTACTCACCACAACAACATCTGGGTCAATTTTGTGAATCTTCGCAAGGAAAAATCCCAGCAGTGTTCTCTCTGTTGCAGCAATTTCTATTTTAGCATTCTAAAAGGAGCAAGAGAGCACCTGATTTCAATGACCCAATAAGTTTAAAATGGAAACATCTCCTCTCCCCTACTAGTTACAAGACAATAATAAAGCACCACAGAGTTCTCCCTTTTCTTCTATAATTCAAGGCTTTTTGTTCTCACTCCCATAGACATAGAAAGCTTTTCTCAGGGGCTTTTTTCCATTTTGCTTTTGTATGCAGGTGTCTAGTGATATTTTAAGAGCCTCCTAAGAATCAAGCACACCAGGAAAATGCTCCATGTGCATCCTTCACTCAGAGGCTTAAGATCACACAGAAACAGAGGAAAAACAAAAACAGGTTATTTTATTATTCTGTCAGCTCTCCCAGTGCCCTTCAGAAAGGATGTCGTCTAAATTTTGATAGACTTCACTCTCCAAGGGAAAAGGAAACAAATTCTTGCAGTTTACTACAACTACGTAGTCAGCAATAATGAATACGAATCACAATTTTAGCCTCTTTGCAAAAGCTTTCCAGCTCTGTTGTCTAACACTCCATTTGTTTTATGAGCAGAACTAGCAGCAGTACTGAATCACAGAGCGCACGCACCTCTGTTTTTACAAGCAACACAGAATAAATAGCTGGATTTAGGTCTGCAGACTGGAAAACTAATGAAATAATCATGCCGTTCCTTTGAATATTTCTCTTACACAACTTACCCAAAGCAACATGAAGTTCATATTTTAAAAAGTATTGCAATCAGAAGGCTAGCAAAATGAAAGTTACCTTCTTTTTAACAGTTTCTTTGAAGTCATAAGGAAAAATGCAATCGTTCGGTTTGGAAATAACTGCAAAAGAAATTGTATTTATGCTTACATACAAGTTCTTAACTGTACCCTCCCTGTCAGCATCCATCCACAAGAAGGGAGCTAAGGAAAACTAACCTCTAATTCTAAAAAAGGTAGCCCTGTGTGAATACTTGTCTTTAAGATAACTGAGTAATTAGTAAAGTGTTAAACAATTTTAATCAGTCATATTTGATGTTATCATTGGAAATTAAAACTATGGTCCACAGCTTCCAAAGAACTTCCTCTTACAAGCATTTAATACTTCATGACTTCCAACTGGGGTCGGAATCTCAAAGTTTAGCTGGTATTACTATAATGACATTGCTGAGAGAGATTTTTTTTTTCCTTCGAAAACTTGTTTATAAATAAATGTGACATGTTTACTTTTTTAATTCTGTTCAGAAGAACTGAAAAATAACTAAATGACAGTAAATAAATAGTCTAAATTAATGGGTGAAGAAAGTAATCCAAGAGAACACATGATGAAGTAAAACTAATAAAAATGATGGGAAACTGTATAGAGCACTGTTACTTCACACCATCTCAAACTAAGATTTTTTTCAATAAAGACTGCAATAAAAAGTCAGTAATCAGTGAAGTTAAAAATAGGGAGAAAAGCCTGCCTATGAGACAAAACTTTGTAACTTACCTATTCTAAGCTTTTAGCGCTGGAGTGACAGAATGAAGTAAAACAAACAAAACAAAAAAACCCAACCAAAACCACCACAACAACACAAAATCTCTGAAGGAATTATTTTTCTACTTATAAACTGTTCTGAGTACATACCACAGAAGTGTGTCTGAAAAGGAGGCTGAGGTGGAGCCTTATCCAAAGGAAATTTCTGATGAATCAGAGCTGCAACAGCCACAATCTATACCAAGGAGATACAGGACACACAACTTCATAAACATGACTCCTATCAATACCCATTTCTTCCCTCCTTTTTTTTTTTTTTTTAAAGTTTCCTCATCTCTTTTCTCTTGTTTCTACAAAAGATCTTTTTAAAATTAATTCCGTCTATAAATAGTTAAAAAGAAGAAAAGTTATCAATTGATCTCAAGTAAAGTAAAGCAGAACCTACTCCTCAATGATTATCTTAGAAATCTGAGAGGAAAAATAATTCATTTTGGAAAACTCTGCCTTTATCAAATTTTGTTCTGAATCTGAACAGACCTCACAATTTAAAGGATTCCCTATGAAGTGCAGGGGAGAAGTGCACAGGGCAGGACATGCAGAGAAGCCTTGCCTCCAGAAGGGCTGCCCCTGAGCAAGCAGTCAAGACTGCCAAAAACCCAAGAGGTTTTGGCATTTAGAAGCTATTAGCTTTACTGATGCTTCTGCTTGCTTTGCTGGCAGGATGTCCTGGCTCTCCAGACACTGGTCAGGAAGACCCAAGAGAAGACAAAGCGGACAGGCTTTAGAAACATTTTGGCGAGCAGAGTCTTGTTGGTAGCTTGTGTATGTCTCATTACGCTGGCTAAAAACCAGGAATTTTCCATACTCTGCCCCCAAAAATTTTGACTTCACCAAGAGGACTAATTCTGCTTGAAAAATTTGCCAGCCTAATTTTTCTTCCATTCAATCAGCCAGAAACAACTATCGTATCCTATTAATGAATACTAAATCTCTTCCTAAGCTAGGGAGACCTGTTAAAAAACAGATAGATGTGCCTAACTACAGATTGTGGTCTGCAGTCCACAACTGAGGGTGCCCACCGACATCTCTCCTCCTTTCTGAGAAAAGGAAAGATCTCACAGCAGAATAGTAGGTGCGGTAAGATTTAGATCAAATTCTCATTCTGTTTTAAAAGGAGTTTCATCAGCAGAAAAACCCGGTCATTTTACCTAGAAACTAGCTCTATCAAATAAATAATAATAATCCATTAACAGTTGTTCTGGGACAGTCTCATTTATAACTATTATGCATAACAGACAAAATAGAAGGCTGGAAAAAATACATAGGATCCATTGTGACAGTAACTGTTCTCAGCAAACAGGGCCTCTGAACCCACAGTTCTCATGCTGCTGAGATCTCAGTAAAAATGTCTTTGAAAAGCCCACAGCACAGAAAGTTTACTCAACAGTAAATATATTTAGACATGTTTTACCAGGTGACGTTCTTCCAAGCCTCAGAAACTCTTTATGCCAAAGAATGAAACCAAACCAAACCGAGAGCAGATTACTGACCTCATTCTGGTGAGTCTTTGGGTTCTGAGTGGTCTTCATGCTGAGGGACATGACCACAAGAGGAGGAGGAGGAGAAAGATCTTTAACGACGTTCACCAAGCCAGGCTTCATGGCCACAGCCTCCACCTTACACCAGCTGACTGACTGATTTGAAGGCTCTGAGGAAACAACACGAACCACCTTCACTCTTCTGGGAGCCACAGGGAAGGGATCTCTAATGGCACTGCTGCACAGAGCACGTCCTTTTAATGTTTTGCCTTTGCGGGCTAGTCCAAGATCCAGACTAATCCTGCCCAATTTCTGGTACCTCCCAAGGCCCTGACTCCCCAGTCAGAAGCCTACTCACACCAGGGGCTCTTCAACACCAAAGAGGAGAGGGAAGATTTGTTTTGAGGTCAGGAAGACGTGCGGTGCAAAAAAATGCTTCAGGCAGCTTTATACAGAGTCATGGTAGACAGAGGTATAAGCCAAGTGGCATAACTCCACCTAAATTAATATACCACCCCTTAGCATTGAATCTTGTAGTCAGTCCAAAGGTAGAAGGCTTCATAAAAATTAAATTAATACAAGTGAAATGAAAGAATACTCAGAAAGTTCTCAAACGCTACAGAAAAGGCAGCCAGAGTGTTATCAAAAGAATTTTGATTGAATGAGAACTGACTGAATATGACTGACTGAAATGCACCACATAATTAATTCATTTAGCTATAGTCCTTCAGAAACACAATTATGGAAATAAAGAGATGCAGGATGTCGTAAGAGAGTTCATCCTGCCCTGGTACTATAAGCTGTCCTAAAATGTAAGAGAGACCACAGAAAGCTATAGATGTAAAGCGTACAAGAGCTAAAAAATTATAGATAGGTGGAAAAAAAAAAAGACATGTTTACCACCCATTATCATTTCAGAACTTTTTGGTCTGTAATTCTTCACTTGCTTTTAGGAAAAAAAAAAAGTGATCATTCACAAAAGATGCTGATGAGGTAACTCACTACATGCAGTAAGAAGCAGAGGTTACATTTCTGACAAATTAACCTTCTGAAGACAGCTGTTGGTAGACCTAGTGATCTTACTCCCTACAAAATTATTTGACCCCTCTCTCAAAATCCACATATTTTACCTTCTCTCATTATCCTTGCTTTAAATGCAAACAGGTAACTGACTAAAATATCTCCATTTATAAAACACTGATAATGTCTCCAAAGGAAGACAGGCAATCAATTGTTTAACACCTTTTTTCTTCGATCTCCAGTATCTCAAGATCCAGGGCGCTCTGTAGAGCGGTGGTCTCCAAAGTGGGGTGCATAAGACAATCCATTGGGTGTGGGTAGAAAATATTTTTTGTATCATTAATAAATACTTTCAAAAAGTGTTTTTTTCACATCTCATACTTTTTTAATTTCTATTTTTGTGATTATTTTATAACATCCATAATATATTAGTACAGTAGTACATGTATATAATTTATAAGTAAGTATCTATATATTGGGGGTACATGCTCAATTTTTTACTGATGGGGGTACACAATCTAACAAGTTTGGAGACCACTGCTCTAGAAAAGCCCCGCTGCTATCTAGCACTGATAAACTGCAAGACAGCTTCATTATGAATAGCAATGACAGCCTGTGAAGGAGTTGTGGAAGACTGATCAAATAGTTTGAGACTTGCTTCTTCTAAACCTTCCAGGTGTATTTCTTATCTCTAAGACCCTCTGTGAGAAGTGTGGAAAGAAAGCTACAGAAAAAAGCAAGAACCTTCTGATAAACTAGACACACACACTCCCCCAAAAAACCAAACCAAAACGAAGAAATCCAAAAAAACCCCAACAACCCAGCTTTAGGGCATAAAATCCAGTGCAACGACTACAGAAATTTCCATAAATATAACTAGCCAGCTTAATAGACAGTTTTCAACAGAGTGGGCATGCCACAGTTTTGAAATGAACAATTCTGATACCAAGATACAGACTCTCTCTGGAACCTGAAGGCTGTAATAGAGATGTGGGAGCAGGAAAAACGAGCTCCCTTAGATTACCATTTCACTCGGGCACAGAATCAGTATCTGAGCTCAGGCAAGGCAGTTGCAAGTGGAGATAACGCACATCAGCATTAAGTAAAAGTGAATACCGCCTGAACTGTTGGTTTATCATTGCCGTAACATTTGTCATACTGGATATGAGGAACAAAAGGACTCTGGACTCTTTCAGGTGAAGAAACAGAACACCAAAGAAATGTGCGGTCAATTCTTGGGCAAAGAGTGCAGATGAAAAACCACTCTTAGGACTTTAAAATCAGTGCCACCAAGTACATTGATGCTCGCCAGTGTCTGGTGGAAAACCCATCACAACTAATCCGTCTTTTGGCAGTCAGGGATTTGCCTTGTCTATTCCAGCTCAAAATCCTTCCTGGTATCAGCTTTGTCAGTGGCTGAGCGAGGTGCTGAAGAGGAGAATCCTCCAGGTGTCGGCATTCATACTGTCAGTTCTACATTCAAAGTGCCCCAAGGAGACGGCACTAATAGATGTAGCTTCGGTTTGGTATGATCAACCTCCCTACATTCTTGGGAGTATGCAGCACACATTGAATAACGGGCTCTAACAAAGCCAGACTAAGGCAGCATAACCACCCGTAAGCGGTGCATGCCACTCAGGAGGCAGAAAGGATTTCAAACTAAAAAAGTTCCACACCACAAACTCTTCTGAGGGCCTGAAAAATAAACCTAACACACAAACAAAAAAAGCTATCTAGCAGCTGTTTGTTCTGAAAAAGATATATTTGGAGAAAAAAAACACAAATCTTAAGTTCCCAAGAGAAGAAAGAAGAATAAACTTCTAGGAAACTAACTTCAGCTCAGTATATGTGGCTATAGGGTATGCACCAAGGTGCTGCTGCTAGGCACTGCCGAGCTCCCTCGCACTGCCATTCAAAGCTCTGATCTCATCTGTACAGCACGCAACTTTATATGGATAGAACTCTCAATCAAAAAAGGAAGAAAAAGTTACAATTTGTACTAGACAACGAAAATTACACAGATAAATTGCAAGGTTAATTTACAAAATTGTAATTTATCAGCACAATTTAAATTTCCCCTCCTCCCCACAATCTATAATTATTAGCGTTTTCCAGCAACCGAGTATTTCACATGCAAACCACCATACGTGGATTTTTTATTTCCAGCCAGCATGGTCCTTTGATCTTCCTACTCATCAAGAGAAGTTCCAGGCTAGAGGTGTTAGTTCCAAATACATGTGAAAATGTTTGTCCTTTGAGATCTTGGGGAAGCCGAGGGCATTCAGCCTAACAAGTAACAGAAAGCAGTGAGTCATTTCACCCCACAGGAGTCTTCAAGGTTGACACACTATATTCAGACAACACCTTAACCAAACTACACAATACCTGAAATCACTGTAATTTCCCACAAGCAAAGCCTTAACCTGTAATACGTTACAGTAACTGAAGAAATTACACTATTGACTCAACTTAAATAGGTGCATAGCAAAATCAGGACAGTAATGAAAAAATGCACTGAAGCAAAAGTTCTTCATCCATACTGGGTACAAGACAGAAATATTATCATCAGCCAAGACTACAACAATGTTCACTGACCATTTTAATACAAAAACTACTCATGTTGTAAACTTAGTTACAGCTTTAATCTTGTCTGTCATATAAAGACTGGATAAAGTGTTTCTGCACAGCTAAAGAAAAAAATAGAGACAGCTAGCAAATCTCTATGGGATGCTGCTTTTGCATCTAGAACTAGTATTAAAAAATGGTTTAAAAAGGCCTTATCTCAGCAACTGACCCAATAGGTTCAAGACTGCTGAGTCTCCCACATTCGAAACCAAATCAAGTCTTTGCTAATGAAGAAGAGCTACTGGTGTTCTCATGGGGACTTTTTTCCATTTTTGCTACTCAGTTTTCTAGCTCTTCAACAAGTCCTTCTCATCCTATTGCTGCTATTTGCAAAAGCCATATAAGCAGAGAAATCAGCTATATTCTGGACATGGATTCAACAAAACACTTAAGGGTAGTAAGCAATTTAAAACACCTTACAGTACTTTGGGCCCTGAGCCAGTACAGCTAAAGGGTTGTTTGGCTGATTAGCTGATTCAGTGAAAAGGCGATAAAAAATAAAGCAGGATAATTGGGAATATATATTGTTGTAAGTCAATAAGCAAATCATAATTGGGGGAGAAAGTGGAAGGAATGCAGTAGTTGTAGTAGTTGCTTTATTTACACAACGTAGTAGTTGCTTTTATTACACAGAATGTAGTAGTCGCTTTATTTACACAAATAGAGCTAATGCTAACAAATCAATATGTTACAGGTTACCTGGTAATGAAGTGTTTTTGTTAAGGACTAACCAACAAACAAATGATAACAAAAAAAGCCACAAGCTTAGGTATTAACCTTTTTTTTTTTTAATTACAAGACAATGAGCAACTAATTACACACTGCAACAGAGGTTCAGCCACTAGCTACTAAAGATCAAATCCTACAATTTTATTTTTATTTTAGTAAAATCATAAAATTCTTAATTAGGTAAGAAAGCAGGTTATGGTCTTTCACCAGATTAATTATACTTACCGAATATTTAACTTCTAAGTATTCAGATTTTGCTGGAACATCCGGGATCTCAAAAGCATAATATTTTTCCACTTTCTAGATAAAAAAAGACATTATTTTTTCAGTATCTCTCAATTGAATATTCATTCTGTCCAACAAGAAAGCTATTGAAATAAAAGCCAGCCGAAACATACATCTCAAATATCATGGGCTTGATCATATATTACCAATTCTGCAACACATTATAACCATCTAAAGATAGTGAGAATGTTTTAGTATCTATATTTAATCTCTAGGTTTTCTTAGCACAAAGAGTTTCTACAGAATTGACTTACAAGCATACTAACCATTACAAAACAAAAACCATACAAGTTTAATAGCTAAGGAAACTCAGAAACATTCTGTAAATTCACAGGCTTCAGACATACTCAGGAGACTTGCTGGCTGCAGACCACCACAAAAATCACAAAATGGCTGAGATGGAAGAGCATCTCCAGAGAACGTCCAGTCCAGCCGCCTGCTCAGAGCTGGTCCAGTATAGCGGGCTGCTCAGGGCCCTCTCCAGTCAGGGTTTGACTACCCCCAAGGATGGACACTCCACAGCCTCTCTCGGCAACCTGTGCCACTGCCTGACCTCCCTTACAGTAAAAAAGTGGTTTATGTTCTGATAAATCTTATGTTTCGCATGGTACCTATTGCTCTTGTCCTCCATTGGGCACCAATGAGAAGACTCTGCCAGAGTCATCTTTACCCCTGCCCATCACATGTTTGTACACAACGATAAGGTTTGCACCACCAATCCTTCACCCCGAACCTTCACTTCTCCAGCTGAGACATCCAGGTCTGAGCCCCTCCTCACACGACAGATGCTCCAGGCCCTGCAATGATGTTTGTGGTCCTATGCTGGACTTGCTCCAGTATGTGCGTGTCTTTCTCGTACTGGGCAGCTCAGCTGAACGCAGCACTGCACACGCATATCACCAGGGCTGCATAAAAGCAGGAAGGACCACCGCCCTGATATCTGCTGGCCGTGCTCTGTCCCATGCAGCCCAGGGTGCCCATGGCCACCTTCACCACAAGGGTATGTTGTTGGCTCATGGTCATCTTAGTGCCTACCAGGATGACCAAGTCTTTTTCTGCAAAGCCGCTTTCCAGCTGGTCAGCCACCAGCACCTACTGGTGCCTGA